CCCCGCTGGCGCCTCTCCGCCGAGGCCCTTGCGCGGAGGCGAGGCTGGAAACGCCGGGGTGGGCGCAGGTTTTAGGGCGCCCGGCTGAGAGATTAGCTGGGAGGTGCCGGGGGAGGTGGGGGCCCTTGTCGGGAGCCACACTTTACCTACCCTGTTACAGTAGGTTCACGTAACTAAGTGGTTCTGTGAGCTGAATTCATGTCAGTTGGAGTCTCACGGTCGGTTATCACCTTTTTGTTAAGCTTTTCTCATAGTTGCAGTATCGGTAAGGTCTTTTGCATGTTTGGCTTCTTTGGTGTCTAAAGAAATAGGTCAGCCTGCAGCCTTTCATCATTAAAATGGGTAAAGAAGATGCTATTTGTCTGCATGAAATCTGTAGGATTATGTTTTTGATATGGCTCTTCTTTCCTCAGATTTGATCGACACTGAAATGAAGGGTAGGATCTTAGACATCCGGTTAGTGGCTAGAGCACATGGTGAATTAATTAGAAGGGGAAGATGTGTATTTAGCCTACAGAAGAGAAGGTAAAAAGGGAGTATTTAGTTGCAGTGTTCTGCTACCTAAGACAGGGGAGATACCGCAGATATAACCAGATTCTTCCTGGTTAGGAAAGGCAAGTGATCTACAGGCATTAACCACTTGAAAAATGTGTTTTTGAGAAGTGCAACCGATGGATAGCAAAACAATTTTTTCATAAGAATTAAAGTAATACGAATTTCACCCCCGGAATATCCAGCATGTCCTCCACCTGATGATCCTCTGCATCTTCCATAGTGTTTGTACTCTCCTTGTGTGTTCCTTAAGTTTGTGCATGGATTTCATTCTCACTTTTAATTTTTATGAACAAAATTGCTTCCAGTGCTCAGTCACTGTCACAGTACAAAAATTTTTTTTCTTATGTTCAGATAGAACTTTCTGTGCTTCAGGTTGTGCCTATTGCCCCTTGTCCTGTCACTGGGCACCACTGAGAAGGGAGGATGTAAGAAAGATGGAGCATTTCCTATATTTAGGCACATTAATAAGATTCTCCCTGAGCCTTCTCTTCTCCAGGCTAAACAATTCCAGCTTTCTCAGCCTTTCCTCATATAAGAGGTGATCCAGTCCCTTAATCATGTTAGCAGCCCTTTGCTGGGCTTCCTCCAGTAAAACCATCTCTCCCTTATACTGGGAATCCCAGAACTGGACACAGTAGTCCGGGTGTGGCATTACCAGGGCTGAATAGACGAGGAGGAGGATCACCTCCCTCGACCTGCTGGCAAAGCTTCCTGTCCCTCTGGCAGCCTTCTTGGGCCGCCTTTGCCACAGGGCGCGTTGCTGGCTCACGATCAACTTGTTGTCCAGCAGGACTCTCGGGTCCTTCTCTGCAGAGGTGCTTTCCAGCAGGTCAACCCCCAGCCTGTCCTGGGGCATGGGGTTATTCCTCCCTAGGGGCAGGACCCTGCACTTGCCTTTGTGGAACTTCAGGAGGTTCCTCTCCGCCCAGCTCTCCAGCCTGTCCAGGTCCCTCTGAATGGCGGCACAGCCTTCTGGTGGGTCAGCCTCTCCCCCCAGTTTAGTATGCTCAGCAAGCTTGCTGAGGGTGCGCTCTGTGCCTTCCTCCAGGTCACTGATGAATAAGTTGAACAGGATTGGAGCCGGTACTGACCCCCGGAGGACACCGCTAGCTCCAGGCCTCCAACTGGACTTTGTGCCACTGATCACAGCCCTCTGAGCTCTGCCGTTCAGCCAGTTCTCAGTCCACCTCACTGTGCGTTCATCTAGCCTGTACCTTGTCAGCATTCCTATGAGGATGTGATGGGAGGCAGTGTCAAAAGCCTTACTGAAGTAAGTTAGACAACATCCGCTGCCCTCCTCTCCTCTGCCAAGCCTGTCATTTCATTGTGGAAGGCTATCAGGTTGATTAAGCATGATTTCCCCTTTGTGAATCCGTGCTGGTTGCTGCTGATCACCTTCTTGTCCTTCACGCGCTTGGAAATGGTACCCAGGATTCAGGTATCCAGGAGAGGCTCCATCAGTTTTCTAGGGGTCAAGGGGAGGCTGACTGGCCTGCAGTTCCTTGGGTCCTCCTTCTTGTCCTTTTTCAAGTTCAAAGTGACTTTTGCTTTCTTCTGTCCTTATCGCCATGATCTTTCAAAGACGATTGAGAGTGGCCTCACAGTGACATCAGCCAGCTCCCTCAGTACTTGTGGGTGTATCCTGTCAGGGTCTGTGGACTTGTGTATGTCCAGTTTGCTTAAAGTTTCCCTAACTTCATCCTCCTCCACCAAAGGAACGTCTTCCGTTCTCCAGAATTTTCCCCTAGTCTCTGTGGCCTGGGATTCACGTAAACCAGTCTTACCAGTAGAAACTTGAGGCAAAGAAGGCATTCAGTATCTTTTCTGTGTCCTTTGTCACCATGGCCCCTGTCCCATTCAGCAGTGACCCACATTTCATCTAGTCTTCCTTTTGTTGCTGCTGTGCTCTTGGAAGCCCTTCTAATTGTCTTTGATATCCCTTGCCAGATTAAATTGCAGATGTGCTTTGGCTTTCCTAGCCGTGTCACTGCAGGCTTGGACAATTTCCCTGTATTCTTCCTGGGTCACCTGTTCCTGTTTCCACCTTCTCTACGCTTCCTTGTTCTGTTTGAGTTTTGCCAGGAGCTCTTTGCTGCCTTTGCTTGTCTTGCCACTTATTGAGATGGACCATTCTTGAACGTGGAGGAGGTGATCCTTGAATATCAACCGGCTTTCTTCTTCCTTCTAGGGCCCTATTCCTGTCTTCCGAGTAAGTCTCGGAACAAGCCAAGGTCTGCTCTCCTGAAATCCAAGGTTGCTCCTGCTTTTTGCCCTGCTCCCTCCTCTCAAGATCCTGAGCTCCATCACCTCATGGTCACTGCAGCCAAGGCTTCTCCCGACCTTCACATCTCCAACCAGCCATTTCTTCTTTAATACTAATTTTACTTTTAGAAACGTTATTCTAAGAACAGGTAAACTCTGTTTTTACTTTTTTAAGGTCTTGATTCCCACATAATCGTATTTGAAGAAACTGAGGCTGAGGTGTTTTTAAAAAACACTGAGGTGTTTTTAAAGTTCATAATAGCAGTAATGATCGTAATGGGCAGCCTCGTGCCCATTAATGATAAGTGTAGAGTATAATGATAATACTGGAATAACTGTAGAGTATCTTATTTTCAGAGGTAATACCTTATTGCACTACTTCTTTAACAGCCAAAATTCAAGGTATGAAAAATGCTGTTCCCAAGAATGATAAAAAGAGACGAAAACAGCTGGCTGATGAAGTTGCCAAACTGGAGGCAGAACTTGAACAGAAGCACAAGGAGGAATTAAAACAGCTGAAAGAAGCTTTACCTGAGCAGAATAAGGTACGTGCTTTAACTTTAGCTGAAGTTGTACAGATACAACCTGTATTTCGGATTCTTTAACTTACTTTTAAAATTGATAATGAAGTAATAAATTAAGTCTTAAAGCATGCCTCCTTTTCCTCTGGAATCTTTGGTAAATCTTTTCATCTTGGGAAAGGTTCACCTATTACAGTGGATGGGCACTGCTGGAAGGAACATTTAACAGTATTATTGGTTTTTGTTGAGAGGTATTTGGTTTTGCTCTTGAGGCTACATTAATAGTTAAGTCTCCTTAAAGAAAGATTATCTTTTAGTTCCTGTTATGTTGTTGTTACCTTACATAGGCTTACTAGAATATTGATGACCTTTGATAGACTTTTGACTGAAGCAGTTTGTTTTATATTGCAATTCTGTCAAGAATGTAATTGAATTTTTTTTTTAAGAACAGACTTCTTGTGATGATGACTTGACTTCTTCTCTTGACTTCTTAAATGTTACTATTCTGCAGGTTTTAGCAACAGCTACTTAAATGTTGCCAGTGTGCTGTTTGATGGTAAACGTCACTGAATTTTAAACAGAGATCTAATGTTATTCAAATTAACTGCAGGAAATATGAAAATGTATGGATATATTATGAAATATCTAAATTAGATTCTATAAATACTTATGTGACTTAAGATAATTCGCCTATGTTTTTGGCACTTAATTAGTAAGTAAAGTGACTGAGACTCTTGTAAGGAATTTGCAATCCACAGATTTTATTTTGTGTATCCTGTATTAAAAAGAAATATAAATATATTTGTATCATATGCTTGAATGTAAGGACTGTTTGTGCCAATGAACCCGTTCCTATACTTTCCCTTGCCTAAAGGGGAATACAGTTAATAATGGCTAATTCGGTGCCATACAGTTATCTGTGAATGATGCTAATGCTCCATGCTCGTACATCATCTTAAGTGTCTTCCTAACAATATGCATTTTTCAGCTGTGTAAACATTAAAAAAAAAAAAAACAAATGAAACAAACATTTGTCCGTTTGACGCTTTCTGGACTAGTTCTTTTCTGATCAGAGACTTAGAAGCACGTTCTGCTTAAGCCTTTGTTGTTTTAAAATGAGAGTGAAAAATGGTCGTGTTGAGCTTTTAGGGAAATTGTGTTGATTGAGAAGCATCTGTTGAGCATCCTTGTGAAAAGAGTTTTGAATTGCAAGGGTTATGACCTCATAAAAATCTTACGTGTTTTAATTTTTAGTCAGATGCTTAAGCAGATGATTATTGCATAACTGCTTATGTTTATGCTTAGTAGTTATATTTATCTATAATTTAGATTGGTTTCAAGAGTTTGTTTCATTTGGCTAAATGAGCTGTCAAAACTAACTGAGGACCTTTCAAGCTAGAATCCTTGCCCTGGACATAGGTTTCCTTGAGAGGATTTTGGTTTGAGATGTGTGTGTTCTTTATTTTCTCAGCGTTTTTATTGAGATTGAAGTTATGTCCATATCTCTTTGGATGACATCTGATTAATAACATAATAAGAAGGCTAGTTTTGGCGTTCTTCTTGAGGACTAACGACTGTCTTTCACAACTGCTCATGATACTTTGGTATGGAAAATGGAGTCATTGTAATCAAACTTGGTAACAGCTGTTTAGGTACTTCAGCTTAACAGGCTGTCTGGTACTTTGAGGAGAACATTCCTTTTCAGCCAGTAAGCAGTATTCAAGCTTCAATGTGCAGCTTCTAAGAGAACATATGAATTAAATTTGAGATGTGCAGTTCATAACCTTTTTTTTTGTTGAGACTAGATTAAAAATAATCAAACACGTGATGATGTATTGGGGTGTGAGATGCTTTACTTTACCTTTGTAGGGTACTGCGCTACACAGGTTATTGTGGATAAACTTCATAAATATACACTGGAATTACCTGGAAACATGACTTAAAACTGTTTCAGGAGATGCACATCTCAGTTACCATTTCTATTAGTTAAAATATTTAACCCTTTCTTCCTTTTTAGCTAGATTCTGTAGCTGACGGGGTTGCACATTTAGAGCTTGAAGGACTTGAGCAACAGATTCAGCACCCTCGAATATCAAAAGCGCAGAAGAGGCGGGTATGGCTTAACATTTAAACATTTTACTTAAGCATTTAAATGAGTTCTTCAGAGAAATGGTGGTAATTCTGTGCCAAGAGTATACTTTCTAACATTTGATTGAAGTTACATTCATTTAAACATAACTGTAATAACTGAAGTTAAAGAATTTTGCGGGAGATATTACCTGTCTAACTCAGTATTAGTGTCTTATCTGCAAGACTGCTACCTAGAGATGTGTAGGCATTTTTAAATAGCTACACTTGTTTACGCTCAGTCAGAATCTGGGAACCAGAAGAGTTCAGGAGATGGGAGCCAGACAAAAATTCTCTCAGAATGATTTTGAAGGAATTTTACTGAAATTTCACTGAAACTATTAATAAAATAAAGTAATTGAATTAGAATAATTTAAATTGCATGAAAAATATGCAAGTAATAGAACTTCATAAATTTAACAAAAGAAGAGAACCTTAGTACTGAAATTCTTTTAAATTTTTGAGATGTTGAGGAAACACTGCTAGCTGTCTAGACCATTAGAGTTAAGTCTTGTTCAGGCTTCAGATGTGAAGTTGCAAAAGATCAACAGTCATCTTGTACCTGTGTGAATGTGAGTTTAGGGCAGACACTGTCTTCTGTTATGTGATCTCTAAGGTAGAGCTGCACTGTTACAAATAATGATAAATGGATGTTCTTAATTCATTGCACCATTTCTAGGCAAACTGGAAACTCTGTAGTCTAGTTTTCTTATATCATGGCTGCATAAACCAGTCTGATCTTGCTTTGTGGTGAATTTTAACTGTAAAAGTGAAAAGATCATCCCCTGTACTGCTTCCTTTTTTAGTTTATGTTTCTACTTCGATTCTTATTCCCTTGTTAACTTAAGCTAAAACTTACAAAGCATTCTATAGGAGTCATTATTACATTCTGCACTATTACATCTGTTCTAGTGTTCTTTCCTTTAGGTTAAAGCAGTCTTTTATGATGTGTAGCACCGTACTCTCCCTAATCAGTATACTACCTAATTTTACAAATCTCCTAGACCGAAACCTTATGAAACGTAAACGTCCGATACGTCCTCACTGCCTCAGATGCCACACCCAAAAATCATGTGACAGGAGAACTCTTAATTATTTGAGCATGCAGAAATAATACTCCACAACACCCATAAAGTGGCTATTAATCGTAATAATTTGTTCAGGATAACCTATGAATTTCACCTATGACTTGTAATATTTGTGTGGTTTGCCAAAGTGGTATGAGTATGATGTATTGGTTATTTACATTTCCTAAGGTTTCGGTCTAGGAGATTTGTAAAATTAGGTAGTATACTGATTAGGGATAGCATTCAGAAACATGAATGTACCGAGGAAACATTCGAAGAGTTAGACGCAAGCACTAAGCCAAGAACTGTACAGACGGTTATTCCAAATTTTAGCATTTGATACAGTTCTAATTTTAACAGCAAGCATGCATCTGGCAAATAATGTTGTGTGTTTTAAATCTGAGGAAAAAAAAGCTGCCTTGGAGAAAGAAAGAGAAGAAAGGATTGCTGAAGCAGAGATAGAAAATTTAACAGGTGCTAGACATCTTGAAAGTCAGAAACTTGCCTCCCTGTTGGCAGCAAGACACCTGGAGATTAAACAGATCCCATCAGATGGCCATTGCATGTACAGAGCTATTGAAGATCAGCTCAAGGATCACCACAATTCCTGGACTGTTGCAACTCTCAGGAGCCAAACAGCAAAGTATATGCAAAGTCATTTTGATGATTTCCTACCATTTTTAACAAACCCCAATACCGGAGACATGTATAGCAGAGGTAAGGATCATAGCATGAGAAAACTGTTGTAACTGTTTGTGATAATTCTTGAGCTTCTCAGCTACAGCTGAGATGGGACTAACCCATTACGGTATGTTTGTTCCTGAACTTTGCCATGATTTGGTTCTGCTGTGCTCTGTGGAACACAGAATTCCT